GGCGCAGGCGTGGCGGACAGCTGGCGGGGTTCTCCTTGGGCAGCCACCTTAAAACTTCAGTCAGGAGTGCTCTTCGATGCGATGACTGAGGTGCGAGGTGATCTTCTGTCGAGGGTGCTCCTTGAGGCAGCCGCATTTGTACTTCTGGCAGGGGGTGCTCCTCGAGCCGCGGGATGTGCTCTTTGGGGCAATTGCTGCCGACGAAAAACGTAGGAAAATCGCGGTTGGAAATCGTGACTTAAGCGCTGAGCGCGATATATGTAGTTTTACGAAGCGGTGGGAAAATCTTTTTTAACTCACGTTTCCCGCGGAAGACTTAGTAACGAAAAAGATTTCGTTTTAATTCCAGCTGTTTGACCTACGCAACCATAATTTCAAATGGGTGGCAAGCCTTGGTTCATACTTTGAGGCTGAACTTTCTGTTATACCTGCGGCGATCAGATTTTGCAATCTGCCATCACTGGAAACTTCCCAGACTTTTAAAATTACAGACTTATCCAAAAAATATACTTTGGCAACATTCTCTCAAAAACGACGCTACGGAAGCCCACCAAAAAGAAATCTCACTTAACAATACCTCAGTTTAACAAATACAAAATACATATTATAGTTTAAACTTTAAAGTTCTTCGTTTAATCAAGTGCATGATTTTACCTTGGTTGTTAGGCTACCATAACTGGTGACTCCCGACAATCCGAACATCTGCAATCAAAGCGAACGAAGTGCAGTCTTACTCAGAACCTGAACATAACCTAAAACAATGCATGACAAGGAAGATTTCCACGACGCGCAGGAGCCATGGAAAATTCCTGATGCGAGTGCTGTTAACTCGGTATGCCCTTCCCTCAACTACATTTTATCACCAACATCGAAATGTTTTTCATCAAACTGGAGAGCTGGTTTTTGCTCAAGGCCTCGGTGCAACCAAAGAGCAAGAGAAAACGCAGCAGCAATCGCATACGCTGATCCCAAATACCTGGATCAAGTGCACGATCTTGTCAACAAACCACCACAATTGAATACGTACTCCACGCTTAAGCCAGCCATTTTGTTCAAATCTGCCGAATCAGAGATGTTGCACCTCGACAGACTTGCGGCAGGAATTTAATTGAGCGACGGTCGTCCAAGTCATTTACTTAGCCAACTACAGCTACTGGATCAAGCGCCTCCCACCTTCTACACGTGCAGCAATCTTAGGCCTGTTTGAAAGCTCGACACCATCCTCGCGCAGCTCGCAACTGCTTCCGATGCTGTGATGGATTCTATTAACTACGACGCTTCAGACCACAAGTGTGCAGTATCACAGTAAAACACCCACCATGCTTCACAGGAGGATCGCATCACACAACAAGGTAAACGCCTGGACGACATTGACAAGATTCTGCAGAAGATCAACAACAAGCCAAGACACCTTCTCGGCACCAAAAATCAGACACAGGGTCAAAGCTATAATCGATCGCCCAGCAACAACAATTACCGGGGCAACACACCATCCAGGGACAATTCTAACCTTTGCTGGTACCACAACAAGTAGGCGCACAGTGCCCAACGTTGCATCCAACCGAGCTCTTGAATCCAAATTCCAAGTCGGGTAAAAGTTTTCTCATCGACACCAAAAACGTATCTTATACATATATGCCCCCTATGGTATATAAAGTTGATTCGATTAATATTTGGAATAACTGAAGCCTGAAAAATAAATAATATTTTTCTAAAGGCAGGCAATCCAATTTTGTATAACAATTTTATATATATCAACTTTGCACTTCTAACCTATAGTTAGAATATATATTCATGTTTTTGTAACGGAAGTCAAAAAATTTAAGAAAATATTTTACATAAGTTTGGACCTTATGACCAAAACCAGTCGTTCTGCCCAATGTGCAGTGGTTACTTTCATGCCTTCTAGGTTATGCAAGTCTGGCACGATAAGCGCTCTCCTTAGTCTAGTCCGGACCCTGTGCGGAAGGGCCTACGTAATAGGGCATTTACAAAGTTGCGGTAGCTATAACACTCAAACTTGTTACGCCATTCAGTATAAATAATGGGCTTCACACGAGCGTTGACAGTACGTTGTGAGTTCCCTAATATTTGCACTCTGATTGTAAACTACTACTACTCCCCACTCCCCTCCGTGGTTCACCCACGGCCCATGTAAGTATCTAATTTTAACCGCAAATTGGACGGCGCATTTTATTTTTATTGTAATCAAAGTTAACAGGTTCGTAATCTGTCAGAACGCCTAAGCGGCCGGCTCACAATTATGCCTTTCTTTCTTTGATGAAATAAATATGAAAATACTACGGGTTAACTTCCATCTTGTTTTTTTTATATTGAATGAAACTGGCAATAATGCATTAGTGTTTAAAAAAAAATATTTTTATTTTAAAACCATTGCAGAGGGAATTATAATTTCAGTCAAAAGTTTGCAACGCAGTGAGGGAGACGTTTCCGACAGTAAGTATAAAGTATAAGTATAAGTCCGTTTCTACGCAAACTAGTCCTTGAGTAGTAAAGCTATCTGCTTGAAACTTTCCCAAAAATTGTCTTTCTTATGCAGGTAAGTCGGAACTGCCCGGATCGGGCGACTATATCATATAGCTCCAAAGAACAATCGGAAAAAAACAATTTTTAAAAGTATAACTTTGTTGTTTTTAATTTGGAAAAGGAAGCCTAAAAAGTATATATAATTTACAGAATATTCTGCAAGGGTATTTCAACTTCGGCTCCGCCCGAAGTTATCTTTCCTTTCTTGTTTTGTAATAAAAAAAACCCCCCATTTCATACCCCTTTGTCGCTGCTTGACAAAAAAATAAAAAAATGTTAGTAAAAAATGTAATACAGAAGAGGAACAAAAAAAGGTTTTGGGTATAGTTTTTTTATTGCTTTTGTATATATATTAAAACCTAAAAACCGGAAAAACAGTAATAATTCAAACATTTTTTGGTAACACTTGGCTTTCAATTATAAATTCTAAATATACATAAATGGTGGCGTGAATACAACTAAACTATTTAATCAAAGGCAACAGTACGCATAAGTGATAAACCTCAAAGGCAGACCCAAAAACACCGTAATGTTAATGCAAAACGTAGAATAAAAAATGTAAAAACTTATAAGTGTTAAACGTTATATAATAATTAAATGTTGGTTATCTATATATATATATTTTGAATTAAAGCAAAATAATCGATTTGGGATTTAAAAATATATTTGGGACAGTTTTAGTTGTTCACCCGGGGAAAGTATCTAAATTGTTATTATTTTTCATTTAGAGGGTCCTCCCTCCCACACAGTAAAAGCTGACAAACTCTTGGCCTTCGGCGCCTTTGAAATGGTAAGTGCCAGGAGGATACCCAGGCAAACGCACGCACATGTCGCGGGTTCTGATTCTGGCTATGCTTCTCCCAATCCCATTCCCGACACCACCGCCTCTCTCCTGCATGTGCAACAAGGCCGAAAATCGTTGCACGTCCTCTCAATGTCGTTGAAAACCAATGCACGTCCGCCACGCGAACATTTCCCCGGATTCTGCCGCTGCTCGCATCGCTCTTGCCCTTTTTGCAAGTTGCCAGACCTTCTGGATTTGGGGTCTGGGTTTTTGTGTGCGCCTCTCGGCCGCTTTTGTTGGTGTTGGTCGCTGTCCAAAAGGGATGAAGCTTGAATTTATTGCACCATCTGACCCGCGCGATCCACTCCCCCCTGTCGGCAGCAGCGCAGTAGCAGCGACGTAGCAGCGCAGCGGCATTGCAGGAAATGCGCTAAGCGCCGCTTTCTTCGCCGCCCAAAATGTTGGACTCTGCGGCCATTGAAATTTCTCAATTTCTGGATTCTCCGAATTCTGTGCCCTCGTCGTTTATTTATACGCCGATATTTTGATAATTTTATTTTCATTTCACTGTTATCGTCGTCACAAAAGAAATCTCGGGTCAATACACTCTTTTTAATTACAAACGTAAAACAGAAAACGAATTCATTTTACGGGTGGAGTACATTGTGTCTGATGACGTTTTGTTTTTAAAATAAAAGTATGTATGTACATATGTATATTTAAAACTTAAGTAAACAAGCTTTTTTTAATTGAAGGTAGATTATTTTAAAAAGGTTTTGAAAACAATCTTCCAACAAAAAAGTTAGAGTTATGGACAGTTATATGATTGATATTAATAATTCAGTTCAAAATGATTGATTTTGGTATTTAAAAACATGGTAAAATGAATTCTGGACATTTAATTCCCAGCGAACTTTTTTTAAAATGAAAAGTGAATTCTAATCTATAATTAAACCTAAAAAATTGCATTTCATAGCACTATTTTCTCTGCATGGCTCAACTTGTAAATTGTACATTGTAAGTCCTCGGGCTTGTGAAGTTAGTGTTATGAAAGTTAAGGTTTATTCGAGGATTGGGGGCAGCTAGACTGCAGACCTAATCAAATTGGCGAACATTGGACGGTGACTGGCAACTCCTGGCTGTCGCAAAGTCATACTCTTTGTTAACAAATCTGATATTCAGCCAATTCTGGCGAATACGTCATCCAGCACATCCAACACGTCGATAAGAACGGAAAGCCGAAAGCCTACCGACAATTCAAAACCAAACGCCAGCGAACCGTCGACATTTTTTACGTGTGCGAAGATATCATAATAAAATTTTTATTGAGTAAGTTAAGCGGTGCTGCCTCTGTCGCTGTCGACGTCGCTGCCGTGCCACCAGCAACAACAATTGCGAATAATACGAGGACTGCGAAGGCGGACCACCTATATTGGCAAACATTTGTGTGTGAGTGTGTGTTTGAGGGGCAGCTGCGGCAATTGCCGGTTCACACCCATACACACATATCAACTTTAATTCTGGGCTGGCGTCGCAGTCGATGCCGCTGCCTCAGCCGCTCTGCTGCCGCTGCCTCAGCCGCTCTGCTGCCGCTGCTCTGCCGCCAACCGCTGCCTCTGCAAGCTTTGTTCTCGGCGAAATTTTCGGTTCTCGTATTTTTTGACGAGCAGGCAACGCGGACGGACGTTCTCCGGGAACTTGGACCTCGATTAGTTTTAGAAAGCTAAAGCTCAGCAACTGCAAATCGCAAAGAACATCCAACGCTCGACATAACCTAATCACAATACCAATTGATCTCGTTTGCCTTATAAAGAACAGTAGTGGGAGTGGCCGAAGCCTCGTTAAATTTATACATTGTATATTTTCAACTCAAGTGCAATTTATAAATACATTTTAAACGTTGTGTGTACATAATATCTAAAGACTGACAACCAGTATAAATAAAATTCAGCTCTAATATTTAAAATCCTAAGTCGAACGAAATTTTAAAAAGTTAAGCTACAAAAGTAATGTTAGGAAGTGCAAAGAATGAAATGGCTTGAGTGAAACTAAACCTTAATTTGTTATACATATGTATACCTTCACATACATAACAACCTAGGTCAATATTGTTTATAGTGGCGTGTGATTGTGCGCAAAGATAACAACAACGAATGCTAGTTGCCCAGCAGATAATAAATAGCAATCGCACACACACTCGCACATTGGACCACACACTCGTCGCCAGAATATATTCACGGAAATCGGAAAACAACAGCAAAAAACTTTAGAGACGAGCGAAAGAGAGAAGCACGGTTCTAAACTTGAAAATAAAAATTTTATAATATCAAAGCGCGAAGGTTGTTAACGAGTGGCACGGCCGAAAAGACCCGAACGCCCACGAATGCTTCACATCAAGTATACGTACGATCGCTTGCTCAGCACCAGTACTCAGTAGCGCCAGTACTAGCAACAACAATAACAATAACACTAAAGCAATAACGAAACGGAAAACAGAAATGTTCCTCTTCTAACGGTCTCAGTGAATTTTGTAATTGGTCATCACCAAGTGAGAGAGAGGGAATTGTCGCAGCGATTGCGATTACGGGTCTGGTCGCCAAACGCGCCGCAGTAAAAAAGTTTCGGCGGAAAAACACTTGCCTCTGGTCGATTCGCGTGTTTAGACGCGCAACTTCCATAGAACTTTCAAAAATCAGAAAAACATCTAACAAGTGTTCAGCAATCGCCACAAATATCAAACCCACTTTGGATTACTTTTCGCAGTCGAAGAGGACTCAAAAACTGCATTTTGCGGATTTTTCTGATCAAATTTATGGTAAGTGTGAGCATTTCTGTATTATTAATTATTTCGATTGTTATGCCATTGGTATTTACCACCCTAATCTATTTTGATATATAATATTGCTTTAACACTATTTAAATGTTGATTTTCCTTAAGAATTGTTTTATAAAAACTTCTTTATATCATTTTTATATACAAATGTATTTTTAATTACTTAACATTATTAAAGTTTTTATTGTTTAACATGTCGCATTCGCAATAGGAAAAAGATTCTCCTAAAAAGATTTGCAATCTACGTCAAACCGAATATGGCACGTCAATGATAAGCTTAGAAAAGTATCACAATCTCACATTCCCCATGATGCATTATTTCAGTTCATTTTACCGATTACCGCAATGCAGTATATCTTAGGAAAAAGGAAAAAAGTCCCCAAAACACACCTTCAATGAAACTATCCAGTCTGTCTTAACCTTATTCATGATGACTCAGGACTCAATTAGCTTAAAAATCGGTCATTGAGTCATCATGACAATAGGCTAATATAAATGGTTCTAGGTATTCGCAATTTTTGATAATGGTTCGATCGATGTTCAAGAGGTGTTTCCTAACCACTGGTGAGTCACCTTCGTGGCCTTAACACTTGACCGGATCGAGCCATTTTCTTTTGATAGTGAATACATATCAAGAGATCTGTTTTACAGAAGCCTCATAGAAAAGGGCAGCTTTATCAAACTGATCATTGCAAGTCTTCCTTTTATTAACGGATTTCGCCACTTGACAAATGATTTTCATAAATTTTGTTGGTATTCGATCGTTTCATTTGGACCCAAAAGAACATTCCAAAGTTATTAAATGTTATAAAAATATTTAACATATAGTCATGACAATGCAAATTTGTATATTTCGGTTTGAAGAACTATTGAATTACTACTGTGGGCAAAAAGTAAGGTAAATTTGTTTGTAAAGTGAAAATTCTTTATTTATTCTCCTGAATCAAATTCATCCCCTTCAAAGTAATCCCCTCCCGATAAAAAAAATTATTCCAACGTTTTTTCAAATCCTCGAAACAGGCCAAAAAGTCCCTTTCCCGTACAGCCATGAGAGCCCTCGTCGATTCCGCTATTATCTCTTCAATCGACTCGAAACGCGTTCCCCGGAGTGGTCTCTTGAGTTTTGGGAATAGCCAGAAGTCACACGGAGCCAAATCAGGAGAATACGGTGGTTGCGGAACGATATGCGTCGAATTGTTGGCGATTTGGTCACGAAGAACGAGTGCTGAAATTGAGCGTTTTCGGTACCAAACGAGATTTGACTTTACGTAGGCCCAAATGGTTTTCACAGATCCTTCTGATATTCCGATCATATCAGTAAGGTCTCTAACAGTCAACCGACGATTTTTGAGCACTAAATCCTTCACTACATTGACGTGTTGGTCATCTGTTGAAGTTGATGGCGCTCCAAGTCATTAACACGTTCCCGACCCTCTTTGAAGTCTTTGTACCACTTATAAACATTTTTCTGGGACATGGTAGAATCACCAAAGGCCTTCCGCAACATCCTCAACGTTTCCGTAGCCGAAATTTCATTCCGCAAACAAAATTGGTGGCACTTCTCTGCTCAATTAAATCAGACATTGTAAAAATTGACAAATGCACTCTTGATTGTTTGGTAAACACAAGCGTAAATATAGTACTGATACTGACATTGACATGAAATTACCGCCAGATGTCATCAACAGTCCTGCCAACTCAAGAAAAAATTAACTAGTCCGCCATCTTAAGCCCGCGAATTTTAAATTGAAAATTCACCTTACTTTTTGCCCACAGTATTATACCGCGCATTGAATAATAGTAATAATAATAATAAAAGAACATGTTAAAGGTTGTTTGTAAGGTATGTAAGGAGTCGGGGGACTCCAAATATGTAAATAATTTTTAAAAATTTACTCTTACGCTTTGGCCACATGTTATCGATCGATAAAATTTAAGCCCTAAACTGTCCGCATTGTATATTATCAAGATATTCGCTAATTTTGTGTCCGAAGGTTAGTGCCAACGTCAGGGAAAAGAACATATAAACAAAAAATCAGAAAATAACACTAACTAGCAAGTTGCGAAGAATTCTTTTCGGTTTTAATCTTTGCAAATTGATATTGAGGTATTTATGTTCACAGGAAATTGTCATTGCGGGGCACAAAAACAAAAATACCGATTATAAAGTAGAAAAATACAATACGTTAATTCTGATATCGCTATCGCCAATATTGGCAAGCAGATTTGATTCGCTTTTCGTTTCGGGTCGCGCTGGCTTGGGTTGTCGTAGCTGCGTTCATTCACGTTCCACCTGTTGGCAATTATTGAAGTGGCCAACCGATTTCTTATCGCTCTTGTGATATTCAAATGTACGTTTTTATGTGAGAGCAGCTGGTGTACCTCGCTCCGCTTTGTGAATGGTGGCGTGCTTAGGTTATATTCTTACGCCTTTTTTGGTGAGAGTGGGTGTAGGGGATGCCAAAATAAATGAAATAGCAATGAAGAGCGGCAGGCGGAAATAAAATAAAAAAATCGTGGGATTTAATGGTTTGAGTCAATCTTACAAAAATGTACGTATGGGTCGAATATATAAAATTTATTATTTATTTATTTTGTATACCCTTGATATTAGAACATCGGCTTTCAAAATATTAACATATTGCTTATTCTAACATTTCAGTTTTAATAACTTCTGCCATAAACCAAATTGCCGATATTTATAACTGGCATTTATTTTTAGAACACAACACAGCAACAAATTCAAGTGTTTTTGTTATAAAAGTGCCACACCGCGATTAGATGTCATTAAAAGCGAAAAATAAAAAGGAAACATGAACCTTATCAGCCCATTCGACGCTCCGATTGCACTGATCGGTAAATTATTTTGGGCATATTCTTGCTGTATTCTTCTACTTATCGGGGCAAAGACCAAGTCACATGACAAACTCGTGAGTGCAGAAAAAGTCAAACCTTCGATTTTAGGCTGATTAAGCAACCGACCCTGTGCCTACCCCATTGAGTTTCGTGTTAGAACACCTCACCAAACAACTGAGGAAATTTTTGCTGTTCTGTATATTTTTGAGAGATACATACAGGCAAGAATGCTGCCCAAATATTCTAACGCAAATGGGGAATAAAGCAAAAAAGCCGGTTCGCAGACATGCGTAATACTTAAACCTGTGTATGGGTACGTGAGTATTTGTGTGTGATGCCAAAAATGTCTGTATCTCTATAAGGCACCCGCCACTCTTCCAAATCCCTGACCCCTAAAGAATCCGCCATTTTTTGTGAATTTGTGATTGCTGCCTGTTTGTTTATCAAGCTCTTTTTTGTATATAGTATGCGTGACCATATATAGGATGTCTGTAAAGTTGCCTTCTCTTTCTCACTCACCCAATTGCTGTGTTTTTTTGATATTATTATAAATAAAAAATGTTGACCTTGGTTAACAAACATTATTTAGCAATTTCTGATATCTTTATTATTTCTTTTTAGTATTTTGTTATTATTTTTTTATTCGAAATAATTAATAAAAAATTGAAGCGTGCCCCTTCTGTTTTAAAAAGTATGAAAATACAGTTTGATAATCAACACGCGCCAAAATAACAATCTAACAGTCAATTTTGATTTAATGAAGAGAATATTTTTAAGATAATATTTATCCATCAATACAAAAGATCATTGATTGCAATTTAATAAACATCGTGACATCGTTCTTTATGGTCAGTTACGATTAAATTATACCCTGAAATAATTTGATGAAGATTTCAAGAATATATGTATTTCTTAAACGTACTTTAAAAAACAGAAAACCGTTGACTTAAGGGGGGGGATGGTATTTAAATTTTTGGCCCTTTTTTCCGTATGCACAAAATTTGAAGAATATTGCGTTAAAATTTTAGATTCATCCGAGTAAAACTTCCGAAGTTATGGGCAGTTTAACGTACAGTGGATCGCAGCTTATTTCGTGCAGTTACCTAAAAAAGTTCAAGTCGTTATTCCTGCTAAACTAAGAAAGATTACAGAAAAATTTAAATGCAGTATTTTAAAAGGGAATATTAACTTGCTTATTAAATTAAAACGATTTCCTTAATCGTAAAAAAAAAAATACTTATTAAATAAAAACCAAATGTGCAGGCTTTTTTCATGCCGCAGCTTATTTCGTGCAGTTCATTCTTCTTAACTTATTATTTGTAATTTAAAAGCTAATATTTGGTATGTCCTCCTTTCTGGTTCAGGACAGCTTTGAGACGATTTCCCAAGGAAGAAACTAACTTTTTAGTGGTTTCCAGTGAATGTAGGTGAGTTAGCTAGTTTTGTATGCAATTTTTCGGTGTCCAAAACTTTAAAAACGCTCTCCTGAATTTCAAAGTTGGTGAAACCGATTTTGCAGGAACGAATCGTTTTGAAATTTGCACACAATTAAAAGCGCAGGTGCTGACGTCGAATTTTTTATTTTTACTTATTATTTTTCATTTTATAATAACAAACATATCGAATTTTTAGGCTAAAATCACGTTTTTGACTTTAAAATATTACCAAAAATTCAAAAATGTAATAAAAAAAATTCTCAACGTAGTTACCTCTAGAAACAATTAACTAATACAAAATTTTTTTTTGCGTTTTTCCGATGATCCAGTAACGAGTTATGCTGTTCACCGCAAAACCTTTTTTCTTGGAGGCGCCTACGGAGCTTTGCTGCGAACGGCTCATTTATTTTTTTTTTTTGTGAAAACGTAGTTTAAATGCGGTACTTTAATATGGTTTTAAAATAATTGATCTGACATTAACCGTATCGCTTAAAAAAATTCATGAAAATAAGGCTTTTTTCGGCCAAATAAACCATACCCATAAAAATTGTACTTTTAAATTTGTATATTTTAGATTAATTAAGTTGTCAGTCAAGATATGAGATAATTAATAATAATAATTATTTAGATATGTATTCATTTATTATTATTATTTGTTTTATTATTATTTGTTTTATTATTATTTGTTTTATTATTATTTGATTGTTAAAACTGTTAAGCCACTGTGCCTTTAAAGTTAAGGATAGATTTTTTTCTTCATTAAAGCTCTTAATTACTAAACCATACATATTGTATATTTTTATATAAAAACGATAAGTACGGACACAGTATGTATGTATGTATGTACATATGTACATATACATATATGAACAATGCGCCCTCAGCCAGTATTGCAGCTGTGTGCATTTGAAAGCGATTGCATGAGTGTCTGCAATCGCCTGCGAAAAATTCAGCATTAAAAATGTTTACCAAGTTCAAGGACAAGACTGCAGCGACGTCAATTTTTGACGCTGCGCGTTGGCTGTACACTCTGAAGTCGAGCGCTTTGGCTGCTCGTGTTGCAAGATTCGTTTCCTTTCGTCTTTCACTAATTCTGGTATGCCGAGTGTTCACTGTACCGAGCGTCGTTTGAAGGCCAGTTTTCAGTCGCTGCTCTGCTCCGAAATTCAAGTTCAAGGCATCAGTGCTGGCTTCTCTGTCTGGCATTAATTAGCCTTCGCTCCCAAAAAGGCAAACTGTTTTCCAAATCTACCATTTCTCTGGAATCTCAATATTAGTTTGTGATTGAATAAGCAGTGCTGAATTTCTATTATGGAAGATCTTTCATCAGCTGATTTGGTCCCTAGCAGTCAACCTGTTAAACGTGTTTTGACGAAAAATAAATCTTCAATCTTCAAAATACATACCGTCTCTGCTCGACTCTCTTCGAGATCTTCCGCCAAGTGTCGATTACGAATTGAAAAACTGCAACCCGTCAGCAGCAAATGATATTTGAACAAAAACGAGAGATAAGAAAGTCTTAGACTAAATCGCAAGTACACTTGGCCTCGCTTTACACGGACTCTTTTAGCACGAACTCGGTCCTACACGGTTACAAATTGGCTCCCATCCCCCTTTTAACACGCTAAAAACCTCGTTCTTATACGCTTTTGCCTTATAAGGAGTGCTATAAAGAAGCTTTAAAAGCCACCAAACAAACGAAAATTACAGATTTTTTTGATGAGAAGCCACCAAAAAAGAAAACATTTTAAAAACAAACTGGCTTAAACTTTAAATGCATTTCAAAGTTGTGTTTTTGTGATAACTTTCCTATTAATTGACAAAGAGTAGGCTTTGCCTAATTAATAGGAAAATTTCTTTGCATAACCGTGTATTTTGGTGTATAGCCGTGTGTGAGCAATAATATTATTATTTTAGTTCGCCTTTCTCGGAATTTAAATTTTTTCTATTGAATGTGCAAATTTGTTGATATCTCTGATGTAAACTTAAACATTTGGTGAGTTATGCCAGTTAGCTTCGTTTTTTACTATTCTTAATTAGTAAAGTCATAAATGATTTACATTTAAATTAATATTTGGTTATTTTTAATTATGTGCAGCTGTGATATACCAATTAGCATAAATGCATTTTGTACATACATATATAAATGCGTTTTTGTTGTTTTTAATCTTATTATTCGATATAAACATTGCATAAATTATACTATTTAAAAAATATTGTCTTAATATTTAAGAGCTTCCTGTATGGAGACAGAAATAATGCAAACATAAGACATCGCAGGCGAAGCTGCGGGCACCCTGCTAGTATTTCTATAAAGTTTAACCTGTTGATTAATTATATGAAGCAACTTTTTTAATTTAATACCAACTTTTAATTTTGAAAATATGAATGTTATTCATTTATTAAAGGCATATATGTACATACATAATAACCTTGGTTAATTTCGAACAAATGTATGAAACTTTAATAAAAACAGACCAAATTTAAACAATAAAATTTTTTTTTTTGCTGTCAATTTTAAATTTTGATAACGTAACACATTATTTTGTACTGAATCCATGTTTCGCTTAACACGATTTCGCTTAACACGAGGATTTCTAGGAACGTAACCCCCGTGTTAAGCGAGAGCCAAGTGTATATCCAGTTTCGAAAACACGCCCCCGGGATAAGCCCTTCGATATTGTTAGTCACATTGTTATTCGTTAAGCCGGAAGCTATCGTCCAACTCGTTTGCCCCCCACAGTAGTACTCCAAAAATATCGAGAGCACCAAGCTTTGGCACTCCCCCCAAAAAGTTCACCCGAGTCCGAGTAACTGATTATAATTATTTTTAGAGTGTCGTTAAAACCTTTTTTAAATTTGGTTTTCAGAACAAAAGGAGAGCGCAAGCAAAGTTAATTCAACATGTCAGCTACATATGTCCTTTCTTTGTCACCGCTTTGGCCAGTTGTCAGCGAAAAAACACTTGTGCCTCTTTGTTGCTACTGCTGATTGTGTCTTCTTTTTTGTATGTGTACTCGAATTATTTATTGTAATTATTTTGAGGTTTTCCGAACATGTTACATACACATATGTACATATGTACATATATTGACTGTGGTTTCTGTTGGCTCTGCTGCGATCGTGTCTGTATCCCCACCCCCTAAAAGCGGTGTGACTTGGGACTTCATGCACACAAACACTCATGCTCGACCATTTTTTTTTGGATATCTTTTCTCTACACTTTTCGAAAAAAATTTCGTTGTGAGCTTTTTTCATAGTTCATTAACCCTTTGTCGGATTGAGGTTGCTCTGCCCGCCATCAACGTTTCTTGCCGCTGATGGCAGCGTTTTATTGAGCAGCATTGTAACTAAAGCGGAACCATATTAAGCAATTCTGTAATGTAATTATACCCGGTACTCTTAGAAGGTCTCTGAAGTTCTGTTTAAGAACAGCGATTTATGAAATTTTAAAAGCCTACATTTCTCCGCTGACTTTTGTAATGTTTTTCTAAGCCGTAAAGCTCTCAAATTAATAAAATTCGTAAATTTTCAAGACACAATATAAAAATTGTTGCTTTGGCTTGAAATTCTTGCTTTTAGGGAACATGAGACATTAAGTAGCAGCCGGTATTCTCAGTCGTTTTGTTATGATTTCTATGCGGATTTTTAAAATGAACGAAATATCCCGAAGAGTTTTGAAAAAGTATGCAATTCAAAATTGTCTGAAGCACACACATAGATACAGTTCGACTAGCTGCACAGAGCGCTAGCTGCGGCGCAGCGTCGACGCAAGCAGCGGCAGAGCTAAGCTGCACTCTCACCCTCTCACAACACCCGTGGCGACCCACGCTCTCTCGCTCGCTTGCTCTCGTTGTTGTCATGAACTTGAACTACACGTGGAGGGCGTGCATGGGTTTTCGACTTGCTCGCTGAGAATCAGCAACTCGGGATGCCGTAAGGAGGCCGTTCGCGGGTTTTCGACAGCCTCACAATCAATGCGCGTGCTGGTTCGTTCCCTCTCCCTCTCTCCGTCAGTCAGCCACCCTCAGTGTCGCTCTCTGCAATGAGTAAGCATGTTGTTTGCGGTGACTGTTGCAGCAATAACAGCAACAACAAAAACGCCCAGTGTGGGTGGGGTGGGGGATGGAGTATAAAACGAAAGGGAAGGTTTCCTGGCTGCGCCATTTATGTAGCAATCGTTGTATGTACATAGATGTTAAAAAAAGTGAAAACACGTCAATGGGATGGCCACTTCTGCACACGTACCTACATTACATATACATATGTATATTCAAATCTTGTGTACTCACGTTCTACGACAAGTATTTAATTTCGCCAACAAGCGCAACTGTGAACTGGGCATATTACACCACATTTGCTAGTCCGGCATTAATGAACCCTCTCAGACCATCCCCCCTCCACCCACTCTGTGTGCGTTCTCGCTCGACTGTAACTCGCTGCCTGCGTGTCTTTGTCGCTTTTTGACCTAGGCCAACCGCTGCACCCCACGCAAATTGTGCGTTGCTCGTCGACATCGCGGACGGCGGCAGCGGCAGCGCAGCTTAGGCTCAGGCGTCGTGTCTAGACCTTCGCAATATAAATAAAGCTTTAAAGAAGAATGATCAGATTTATAAGTTAGCCCCATAGAGCTCTTTTGTTTTGGTAACTGCTCAAACGAGCTTATTGTACTTTATTTCTAAAAAGCTTTTGTGGCTATGATATCTATTCAAAATAAACAAATACATAAATATTATAACTTAAATAATGATTTAAAGAATATCCTTTTAAAATCATACATTTTTGTCAAGTTAAGGCGGTTTTAGGCGGTGAAAATGTTTCATTTATTTAAATGCCGATTTTACTTAATTTATAGAATTTTAAAATTATAAAATTTTTTTTAGTTTCAAGAACGGGCTAATGACTTTAAATGACATGGCATATTTGGTACCTTTTTTAATGACATTTTGTATAAAACTGTACTGACTGTTTATTAATGAATTGTACTTTTTCCATTTTGTCTTTGTGTATTCGTACAATAATATAAATAATATTGTGACAAAGTCTGTTCAATGAGTCAATATATGAAATTTTCGAAAATTTCTGCTGCTCCAATTTCATTTGTTAAAGTATCTTATCGATTTTAATAGTTCTCTTTTGGCTAGCCTGCCTTGAGCTTTAATATATATATGTACATATATATGTGCATATGTATACAATTTCATTGAAAAGACTTCCCCAGAATACAAACACTGTGAGTGATTTTAATTTTATCGCTTTATCTTATCAGGCGAGCTCATCGAACTTAGGCTAGAAAACTGAGGGCTGGTAAAAATATATCACAGTCCTCAAGTTGACTACTTGAAATGGATACTTCAGACAGAGGCAAAACTTACCCAGAAATATGTTAATAAACAAATCGGAGTGCGGCTGAGGAATCTAGAGAAAAGCTTACAGTTGCTTTAAATTTAAAAAGACACCAAACCCAAGCTCTCCAACTCCATAAATTTGTAAGTATGCATGAGAAGAGGTGAATGTAGAAACAGATTAATAGATTTGTATTTTTTGAAAATGTTCAGACTTTTTCAAAAACTTTGCTCGATAATTGCATTTAAAGCGTTTTTATCTTTAACAAATTATGTTTAATACATAAAGTTTTTTACATTTCATGGTATGCCATCACAATTCTACCCGTCAAGCAACTTTACTGATCTATCCAAACACAATCTTTTCTCCCAAAGACCAGTTTCAAGTCTCTTCATTTCGGAGCTATCCCAACAAAATAACGGCACTTTAACTTTTCTGAGGGATAGCTCTCCCTACTCTTTCTCTCTTTCCTTTCCATTACAAGCTAGATCTATAGTGGAGCATTGTGGCACACGGGCAATCATTTTAACTCATAATAGATAAATGTATTTTTCCCCCAAAATATTTTGTTCGTTCAAACCTTCAGAAACTTTATGGTCGGGTAGCCCAAAAGAGCACGAGCAAACGAAACGAGGAATCGGTGATCATGCTTGTTCTCCATCTATACTCGCTCAGAAATAGTTTTCGTGTTGAATGTTAATGAACTTTTGCGCTAGTTTAACGCACAGCCGAATAAACATCAGCAACAATAACAACGAAAGCCGATAAAGTTTTTTGAACTTGCCTTCACAAAAACTTTTTGTATTTCAACATTTGCTTCTTGCGCTCATTCTGTTTTTGGAAGGTTTCTTATAAATATTAAGTTGTCGAAGGTGGAAACTGGTCGTTGGTTGGCTTTCTATAGATGGACTCCGGGAGGGATTCCTTAAATGTGGCGTCGATTGTCCACCCACTACTTAATGTTAAATTTATCAATATTACAATTATTTTATTTTTGTCTGTCAAGTAAAAAACATAAATAAAAACGCGATAGGGACGATAAACCAATCATAAGAACACAAATCTTTATCTGTTTCTTTCAAAAACAAAATTCGAAAACAAAGAATCATCAAATAATTTCATCACTTAGCACATCAAAACTGATTCAATGCGAATGCTATTTTTATTTTACTTAAGAATTATTCTATGTACCGAAATGTAAAAATTCCAGATACCAATTGGCTTTATTGTTCATGACTCATTCCCTAAGCACAGGGGAAATTTTGAAGTTAGGAAACATTCCACCTTATCTCTTAGTCGCAAAGCGCTCAAACAGGGAAAAAGTGAGAAATTCCCTTTGGCATTTCACTCTAATATTTTTCAATAAAGAGATTTTTCTATATTTAATGCGTATGCTATTTAATTTTTTCATTAAGAATGGCTTTTAAGTGTGACAGGTAGCTCAGATAGCAATTAACAGTTTATGACTACCTAACTATTTTGGAGTACAGTAAACTTACACTTCATCTCTAATCGCGAACCACTCAAACAGAGAACAAGTCTTAAATTTCCCTGAAATTTTACTCAAACATTTTCCAATTGGGGGAAATTTCGGATCTAATGGGACAATTTTTGTTGGTGGTTGGTTTTTCCGTGTCGAGGTCTTTTTAGGTTTGAGGTAGATATTTCGGGAACTCACCCACCAGTCTCCGATACACCATCAAACCGAAAACCTCGTGAGCGGCGATGTAAAAATTTTGTAGAGTTTGTGCGTGTATGTGGTCTATACCTCTAAAATGACCGACTTTTCAATGAATGATATTTTGAGATCATTTAGAAAAATGCGCATGAACAAGGGCTCGGCCCAAGGCGGTCATTACCAATGCCGCAACCATCAGCAGCAGCCACCGCAAAATATCCAGACCTACCAACACACCGTGCAACAATCGAAGGATTTAAAAAAAATTATTAAAATCATCAAAAAGAATCTGATTAAAGAAAAAATCACTCGTCAAATGAAAATTCTTGTCTAAAAACGTCAAACCTAACCAAAATAACTTAATAACATTAATAAAACTGGATACATAATAATCTGAAGACTGCCGACAAATAAAACCATGGACTGATACCCTTAAACTGAAAAATGTTCAGCTAAAGTCTGATTTTGTAACCCAAATCAATGAATAAGTTTAATAATATACAAATATATAAAAAAGATCTCTTCAAATTTGTAAGACTTCCTATGTAACGATTAGACTTTAAAATTTTAAAAGTCATATTATTATTAATAAAACTAATTAAGATGACCGAAAGCAAGAATGATAAAAAAACTTGGGCACCCAAACATATTTGGATCAAAGATGTACTCCACAAATCGGGCACTGAGTTGTTGGATATATCCAAGACTCAAGCAAAAAAATCGTCGGCAAAAGGTAAATGGCTAATGTCGCCGAAAATTTGTGTTTTCCAAAACAAGTAAAAAAAAAAGTTATCTTACGACGCCATTTTGTTTTGGTATACGCAATTTTCGTTTTGGGGTAAGGTGTGGGGGTTCATACTATCTTATTAGTAAACAAGAGAATGGGAGAGAGAGAGAGAGGAACAGGATAGAAAAATATGCCGGGTCGAAACCGTAGGGCATATAATAATATCTCCCAAATATCCCAGTTGGGACTTTTAAAATGCAAGGGTCTCAATGAAATTCTTCCCAATTCCCCACGCCCTTCCTCTCTCGCTTACAGTTTTCCTCTCTTTCATAAGCTTTTACGTTTTCCTATTTTGGAAAACTCCGGCCGGCAATAACAAAAAGTGCGTAGAATAAATTTAAGGGGTGGGTTTTCCCCTTTAACCCCCTTCTTCTTTCTCGTTACGAGGCTTTTCCAACCACCCGTTTGAACAGTTCTGTGGGGGGTATTTTCTTTATTTTCCTGAGACGCAGATTAGGATCGACCGAACTGTTACTCAGGATTATATAGGAAAATGAGTTAGATTCACCTGCATTAAGCAATTGCCATTTAATTTGTTATATTTAGAGCAAATGGCAACAATATGGTCCAAACTAGAATACTCGTCTGCTTACATATATAAATATTATTTCCAAAACAACCAAACAAAAATATACCAAAAAAGTTTTAATACTAAATTGGTATAAGTTCATATAACCAATAAATTCTTGTTATTTAAAAATAAACAATTTTAAAGATAAATTTAAATAGTCGTTAAAGTTTGACAAAACTAATCACAGCCATTTTAATTCTATGTAGAATACACTCAGAAAACATAAAAATGAGTTAATGCAATGTATTGATGAATACATGGGTTATGCTAATTATAATTCCTAAAAATTAGATCATTATGTTATTTGGGTGTTCTCTGAATAAAGTGTAAATAAGGTACAAAAACCATTCAACTTACAAATGAAATGATCTGCTTGTACACTTGTATTTGTTTCCTAAAAATCTAATTTCAATTTTTTTCCTTCGTTCTTCCCAATGCAGACTCAACCACATCCAACATGGTTTACTATTCCGCCAACCAGCTGCTCATAAAAACGGAACAATCTAGTCAGGCGCAGTTCTGTCTTCAGGTGCCGCCCCCGCTGACGGCGAGGACCGCGAGTGTAGACCTTGGATTGCCGCCGTCCAGTGGCCAGCAAGAGCAGTTCGAGCTGCTGCAGACGCCACAGCAGCGGCAACTGCAACTGCAGCTGCAGGATCAGCATCACCAGGAGCAGCAGCAGTTCGTCAGCTACCAACTGGCAATCCAGCAGCACCAAAAGCAGCAGCAACATGAAAGTATTACGACGACTGCTCCAACGCCGGTCACAGCAGCTCAGCCGATCAAGACGGAGCCGACCGGCCTATTTCCGGCGGCAGCAGCTGTGTCCCAGGTGCGCAAACCGATCGCCAACAAGCCGCAGTTCAAGTGCGATCAGTGCGGCATGACTTTTGGCAGCAAGTCGGCCCACACCTCGCACACCAAGTCGCACGCCAAGAACGCCGACCTCTCGCTAAACGCTGGAGTGGGCGCTGGAGCCGCTGCGTCCGCCTCAACGACGGCCAAAGAGATGAATGATGCGGGTCTTCCGGTTGGCATACCCAAGAGCCCGACCATCAAGCCCCTGGCCAACGTGGCTGCCGGAGCCGATCCGTATCAGTGCAACGTGTGCCAGAAGACATTTGCCGTTCCTGCCAGACTGGTGAGTTTCGCGCCAAACAACCCCTATAAATCTATGAAATTGTTAGTTATTATGTTTCACTTGGGATTTTTGATTAGTTTTTGTAAAATTGTAAATTATTACCATAAGAACAAGGCTGAAAAATATTTTATATTTTTAAACTGTTATAATATTATGTCTTTATAACGATAAATGCTTCACAATTTATCTTTAAGATAGGTACCTTAAAAATTTACGAAATTGAGTTCGATAGTTTGATGACTTTTTTTTATTGAAAGACAACTTAAAAGATTCGTGAAATGTTAAAGCTAATAATCCTATACGCTACTCTTTTAGATCCGCCACTACCGTACCCACACCGGCGAACGTCCGTTCGAGTGCGAGTTCTGCCACAAGCTGTTCAGCGTAAAGGAGAACCTGCAGGTGCACCGGCGCATCCACACCAAAGAGCGGCCGTACAAGTGCGACGTGTGCGGACGGGCCTTCGAGCACTCCGGGAAGCTGCACCGCCACATGCGCATACACACCGGCGAGCGTCCTCACAAGTGCTCCGTGTGCGAGAAGACGTTCATCCAGTCCGGCCAGCTTGTGATCCACATGCGTACGCATACGGGCGAAAAGCCGTACAAGTGCCCGGAACCGGGCTGCGGAAAGGGCTTCACCTGTTCCAAGCAGCTCAAGGTGCACTCCCGGACGCACACCGGCGAAAAGCCCTATCACTGCGACATCTGCTTCCGGGACTTTGGATACAACCACGTGCTGAAGCTGCACCGTGTGCAGCATTACGGCTCCAAGTGCTACAAGTGCACCATTTGCGACGAGACCTTTAAGAGCAAGAAGGAGATGGAGGCGCACATTAAGGGGCACGCCAACGAGATTCCCGAAGATGAGGCGGAGTCAGCAGCGCCGTTGCCATCCGTGGGCTCCTCTTCCGGGTCGCCGTCCTTGCAAGGAGTTGGCAGCACCTCTGAGAGCAGCAACCACTCGCCGCCCAGCTCGCCACCGGTCACAAAGAAGGCCCGCCAGGCACGTCAGCCGCGTGGATCCAAAGCCGGGCCAGCAGCACTTTCCATTGCTTCTTCCTCGCCACTCTCTCCCAGTTCGCTCAGCTCCACGTACTCGCCATCGGCCAGCAGCCTGGCCTCGCCTCCACCCACGTCGGCCCACTACCTGCCCGCCCAGATGGAGACGGATGCCTTGAGCCGGGACAGTGGTGTATCAAGCGCTCAACCGGCGCACAGCTATGCGGACGAGGAGCTGCCCACGGACTTGAGCATGCAACAGGGTCAGGCGCCAGTGCAGACTATAGGATACTACCAGGCCCCTCAGGGTCTTGTGGAGCTTCAGCCGCAAGCCCCTCAGGGTCTTGTGGAGCTTCAGCCGCAAGCCTCGGGGACCACGATTAATCCCGCCCTGCTCGAAGCAGCTAATATGGCGCGTCGCCATCACGACGACCAGGTCCAGGATGAAGACGTACACGCAGCCGCATGGCAAATGATGCAGCTCCGCCGTGGTCACAACTTACCTCCCACGGAGACGCAGACGCAGACCCAGCAGCAACAGGTGCCCACCCTACATGTCAGTGATCTCGCGGCCAACTACGATGACACCCATGAAGCCACCATGCTGATCGAGCACTTCAAAAGGGGCGATCTCGCTCGCCACGGACTGCACAAGGGCTATGCGCCGGTCCCCAAATATGAGTGAGTATTATTGTCTTTCAACTCAAACCAATCCACCAACTTATGTGCACATTTCTTTAAAAAATTCGTGCTATTTGTTTCGTCTTTTATTTTCTAGAATAAGTTATAGAGCTGAATATAATGTAATAATACAAAATTTAATTTTCTGTAGTTTTGTGTAAACAGCTTAGCTATTTCTGTTCTCCTATGTGATTATTGTTAAAACTAAACTGTTGATTTTTATTTTTTTGTTGTTTCTATTCAATCCCTTACTGTCAAAGAATATCCTTACAAAGCTTCGTAGGTATGAAGTAAAACGGGACATTAGTAGAAATGTTACTGCCCACCTAAAACAGTCATTTTGTATCACAAATAAAACGAGCTAAACCTAATTACATTAAATTTGAACCAAGTAATCATATAAATGAAATATGTTTTGCTATTAAGTCGAGTTGGGGTAAAAATAAGCTGCAATCTAGCTTACTAACTATTTGTTCAATTTTTTCAGATCCGCTCTACCCAATCCGGATATCGTGCGACGCGTGGAGGCGGCAATTGGACTACGGTCCAGCACGGAGTCCCCAGAGCGGAGTTCCTCGCCAGAAAGCGACTCCCTGATGATGGCCGACCGCAATGTGATGACCCTGCCGCTGCGCAAGCGCAAACACTACATGAACAAGGGCGACGACGGCCAGGTAGAGTCTGAAAAGGCTCTGGGGGCTGGTGGGGATGGCCCCGCCCCCGCCAGTGCCGCCGCTTCCGTTGGCGCCGGGGAGGGACCTGGGGGCAAGGTGATAAGAATGAGCTCGGTCATTCAATTCGCTAAGGCCTCTTAGGGGTGCAAGGCATCTCCCCAATCAGCATTAAGACTGTCCAAGCAAATTCTAACTGAAATTAGTTTAAGGTTTTTCTCTGAAGTTTGAGGTTAGGCCAAAAATAAACGAAGAGGTATAAAGCAGAGGGATTGTTTTCGACCACCGAAAATATAAAATGCCAAAAGTATTATAAAAATATAAAATTTCTTTTAAAATTACTATTACTTTTTTTATTGGAACTCAAGGTGACTGGTCCAATTTTTGTTAAATGTTTGATTTTAAAATAGGTTTCCAAGATTGTAATATTTTCATTTTATTTTGGCATATATAGTTTGTTTTCCTGTGTTGCCACTTAGTCAAATTGCAGCAATTGGCATTATGCATTAGCATAACTAAGATAAAATTAAATAAGATCATTTAACAAGTTCCAACCCTAAACCGTACACATTAACAAGTTATGTGCATGATTACACAAATAATAAAGGATGCAAAAGGCCACATTGGCACTTAATGTTTATAAATACACATAATACTTATTTATTATTGTAATAAATTCTGCTCGCCAAACTATTTCCTTCTCCTCCACCAATAGTGTCAGCGCCATCTTAGACATTATGAACCCATCATTTTATATGCATTTTATATTTTATATATAACGGCACATAGACATTAAATAAGAAAGTAATAATCACGGATTGGTAATATTAGTTTTACAAACGGAGAACATTGAACTGATAAAAATGAAGAAAGCAAGCATAATTAGGTTTATACATTTTCAAACGAGAAGATAACAATTAAAATTAAGTGCGCCAGAACATAATTTTTATAAACGAAGGTTAAATATTAAGGTCTAAATTGTAAAATATTGCAAGAAACATCGCAAATGAAATCAGAAAGTCAATAAACAAGCGTGTAATACAAAATATTTGTATGATCATTTTTTAATACAGGAACTGGTATAATACTAGAAATGGATTTTTTTTAAAGGACGGTATATATTTGAAATAAACTTGCTCTGTGTCAGATCGTGATTAAGAATATACATCTACCTGTTACATAATTTTCAAAGAACCATTTTACTCTCCGATATATTTAATTATATTCAGTGTGAAAGTGAAAATTTTAAAAAAAGGAGCTGTCTAAGCCAGTAAGGCAGAATGGCAAAGTTTTTATAAGAATGCATGTAACTTGTTGGAATCCGAGTTCATAAATTATTTAATATTTTTACGTTCTTTTCAGATTGAAAATGTCTGACCCTTTTTGTGCATCCAAGTTATCCAAGAGCTATATTATATTGAACAAGAAAGAAAGCAAGTTTCGGCAAACCGAAGTTTATATACCCTTGCAGTTATTACAAAACAATTAATTTTTTTCCGATTGTTCATTTGGGAGCTATATGATGTAGCTGCCCGATCCGGCTCGATTCGTCTTATATACTACCTGCAATAGAAATACAACTTTTGGGCAAGTTTCAACCAGATAGCTTTAAAACTGAGGGACTAGTTTGCGTAGAAACGGAAGGACAGACGGACATGGCTAGATCGACTCTCCTATATTGATGCTGATGAAGAATATATATACTTTATAGGGTCAGTGAAGAGATACTGCGTTGCAAACATTTGACTGAAATTATACTACGATCCGCAAGGGTGTAACAAGAATGGTAGAAAACTGTATATACCCTTGCAGTTGTTCCATAAAATTAATTAATTTTATATTTCGATTTTTATGCCAAGAAGCTATGCCGATCTTTTTGATCGTTCCTATGGCAGCTATGATATACATAGATTTTTATAAAATTGAAATTTTTTAAAACTTTAATTATATCCCCATAGGTCGAAAGAGGCTATAATTTTTTTCAAAAATATCGTAAGCCTTAACTGCGCTGAAAACTTCTTACTGCAATTGGCATTAAGCTTTTGTCAAACTTACAAATTGGTAAATACTCCACACATTCAAAAGTATTAAAATTAGGTTGTTCATCGACAATTCAGCCGGACTGCCTACTGCAATTGGCATTAAGCTTTTGACAAACTTACAAATTGGTAAATACTCCACACATTCAAAAGTATTAAACTTAGGTTGTTCATCGACAATTCAGGCGAACTTGGCTGAAAAGATTTTGACCTTTTCTTTCGTTTATTAATTTATGGAAAATATTTCTAAAGCTCTTCAAAATAAATAAATAAATAATTAAAACATAATTTTAAATATTAATAAAGTTATAAGCATTTACATTATTTTTGATAACATTTAAAAAGTTATCAGAAATTCAGGTGAGTGTTATTTACTTATTTATTTTAAGGTACTAAACATTAAAATTTTTGAAAGATTTAAACAGTCGAACGTTGCAATTCTCGCCCCTTGCAACTTGTTTAAAAAACAAATTTATTTAATCGCAGAAATTATTATACAACCATCTCAAAGGATGTTATTTTTTGAGTTTGGAGAAATGACTGGTAGTAGTCGTACTATAGCACATTCTATTCTGATAAACACACAGGAAATTTTAATTGTTTTTAATTCCTTTGTACTCCGGTAGACTCGTCTTGCCGATGTACTTAAGAAAATCCTTAAAGGGCCGTTTCATGCAAATAAGATTTTTGAATTTTAACTGCCTGTCAAACCGCTTTACGACCGTAGCTCAATTCTGATAAACTCTCAAAAACGCTGTCACACTAGAAAGATTAATGATTCTCCCCTGGCGAACTTGTTTTTTGAACTTATTATTAGGCTTTTAAACTTTCTTCACAAAGACTTTACCTGTCCGAGAAATTAAAACAGTGAGCATGGAAAATATAGCTGTTTTTATCTATTTTCCCGCTAAGCTAGCGGAACAGACGTTTTCCATTTCGATCTGTTGAATGCAATAATTTCGGGACAAAGTAATAATTAAATTTTAATTTTTATCGCTATTTCTGCTAAACTAATGAATTTTCTTAGACTTGATGTGCACATCCATAAATTAAAACTTGTATCACTTTGTTTTTTTGGTTTTAAATAAAATATCTTTTCCGTGATTCCCATACCTTTCAGATACTATAAATAAAATGGTTAGCCTTTATAAAGAACGTAATAATTTCATTAAAAACGAATGGACTTAACTTTTCATTTTATATCAATTATTTGTGACTACAAGATTGGTGTGCTAAACCCACCACAGTTCGATTACCTAACATTTCATTTAACTGCTAAATCTACTGCTGCTGTCCCCCACCGAGTTTCTTTTGTAATTATGAAATAAAATTGTTTTTTTAATCATGTACAGCGAGCATCGCTTCATTTACGGATGCTACAAAGATAAGCAAAATTATGATAAAACTAAGCAAACATTTTAATTGTTATAAGAGATAAGGCATCCGGCACAAACTATACACTTAAATTAATTAACATGAGGGAGGGTGGGATGAGGTGAAGTGTTGAAGGGACTTGTGGGTTATTGAAAAACTAAACCCTGTTTTAAAACTAATAATGTAAATTAATTAAACACCCTTTTGGCGGCTGAACATCAGATGCCAATGTAGGAGCACAGCACAAAAACCGCGAAAATCATGACGATCAAAAAGGCAATTCCAATCCAGGCGGGTATTGTACCTGAAAGAAAGTTAACGTGAGATAATTTCAAAGTTGGTGTATTTGGTCCTTACGTCTTTGGGGCAGACTATGGATGCAAACTTTGTTGTCCACAGAAATGGACAGAACGGCTGCTTCCGTGTCGCTGGAGATGGGCGGTCCCTCCTCGTTGGTGATGGGTAGAAACTGAAGTCCCGTCACAAACATAGAATGTGCATGGGGAATGTGGAGCACACGCTGCAAGCCGGAAACGAAAATAAGTGTAATACTAGCTGAATCGCCATAACAATGAGCTATTCTTACCTGCAGACTAAATGCTATGTACATGGATACGCTTCCCGAAAACATCGTGCCGACGGCAACAAATCGCCCATCATCTCGCACCGCCAGTGACGAAAGGCTCTCGTCGATAGTAACAGCCTGCCGCAGTTTCCCGCTGGCGCAATCCCAGTGCTGTAGAAATCCACGCTGCCGCCCCACCTTTCCCAAAGGATTCGCGATGGTAAAGAGCCGGTAGTGGTCCTTTTGGGCCTCTACGGTTCCGAAGCGGCACCGCTTGAACAGGTACTTGGCCCCCTCAGGCGTTTTCCACTGCAGCTTGTGCTGCAGCTGACCGCTGCCCAGGTCCCACATCAAGCCCTGAGCATCCTTGGAGATGCTGGCAATATATTTGCTGTCGGGGCTGAAGTCCAGGTCATCGATCTCCTTGCTGTGCGCAGCCATCTCACCGGCAAGGGTCATATGAGGAAATGTCCAGACCCGTAGCTTTCCGTCCGTGCCGCCAGTAGCCATTAGTCTACCGTTCCCGCTGATGCGCACCACGCGCTGCAGAGGCTCGCTACCCTTTAGGAAGTCCGTCTGTACGACATCAGCCGCCTGGATGTCGAAGCGCAGCCGTTGAAACTGCCGCAGTATGTCGGAGGTGGAGAGGGGTTGCTTATGCCCGTTGGCCACCGGTTCTACACCCGAGTGCGCGTTGCGTTGGCGCAAATTGCCGTTCTCGTGTGGCCGTTCTGCCGCAGCGGGCTTTCCATCCTCGACTCCGTTTCCATTCCCTTCCTCCTCGGACTGAACGCGGGGCTGGACGTAGTACATTTGGCAGTGCGCCTCCTGGCCAGCACACAGGTATCCCCTCCTACCACCGTTGCGTACCGCAAAGTTCATCACCACGTTGGCCCCCGTCTCGTGGCGCAGCACCTCCTCCGCGCAAAAGTGGCTCCCATTGTGGTACAGCTCGTAGATCTCCTGGAAAGACAGGTCGGTCATTAGGGGAAAACGTTGATAAGCGCAGATTGTAGGCAAACCGTACAAAGCCGTTCGCCACTCCTGTCTTACTGGAGCCGCCACCTCCGGCCACAAGGATATGGCGGCTGGTCAGCATGTCAACTGCGTACAGCGGGAAGTTCACACGGGCCAGCAGGCCATCGCTGGGTCGGCGGGTTGGGGCCATTATCAATAATATATGTATATATAAATCGACCGAATACAGGGGCTGGGGATTTTGGTGGACTCTAGATTATCAGCTCAGGATGCAGGACAGGCACATCTAATTTGGCCAACGGCTCGCAAACTCCAACTGTCAAAAGGCTTGAAACAATCGCTTGCTGGGGAACTCTGGTTCTTTTCAGTCTCCGCTTCTCATTAGGAGCCAATTTTTTTTTGTTTTGAGCCCGTGAAAGTTGTATTAAAATCCACGTACACTGAAAAGCGGTGACAGAGCGCGCTATCGATACATCGATAGACAATAAAGACTGTTCAACGGCAGACAAAAAAAAAATTTGGTCTTGTCCAAAAACCGTTATTTAAAAATATATATTTATTATACATTATTTGAACTCGGTAACAACAAAAAGTCTGATTGAAAATGGGTATTTAGCTAAATAAAATCAATTATATTAGTTTCATAGCAATCAGTATATGTCAACGTAACATTTCAGCTGTTGGCCTCCAACACCAGATGAGGCAATTGGTACATTTTCTTTAATTAAGCCTAGTACTCGGATCGACGAAAACTGTACGCCAGTCATGAGAGAGAGCGAGAGGCAAACAGCTGGCGTTCACTTTTCGTCAGGCGTTTTTTCCCCCCGGTACTCAGATCGACGAAAAAAATACCAGAAAATTACTTCGCGTTGCCAACCACCTGAAATTATCTTTTGGTGAACCCTAGCGCAAAGATTAAAAAATTTTATCTTTTGGCGTGCCCTTCTCACTGAACATTTTAAAAAATGGAGGGAAAAAAAAAAAACCCGCAAAAGTCGATTGCAGGAGTTTACATGTGAGGACAAAATAACATTAATACTACCTGGGGTAAGGTGCAAGGTGTTTCTTAAGCCTAGTATCCAGATCGACAAACGATTACGCTAGCGTAAAAACTTTAATCTTTCCAGTGTGACCAAAAGTTTGAGAGTTTATCAGATTTAAGCGTGCTACGGTCGTACTGTCAATCAGCTGGGTTTGTTGACAAGCAGTTAAAATTCAAATATCGTATTTGCGGGAAAGAACCTTTAAAAGATATTATCAACTACCTTGGCAAAACAAGTCTGCCGCTGTACAAAGAAATTAAAAAGCAATACAATTTAAATTTAACAGTTGTTTTTTTTAATTTACTGATAATTATTTGCTAATTTAAAGTTCATAGCTGCACTTTTATTGTGTTTTTTCGTACATTCTGGACCTAAAAAACATTTTGCTCTGACAAGAGGCACCCCAGATAGTATTAATGTTATTTTGTCCTCACATGTAAACACCTGCAATCGACTTTTGTGAGTTTTTTGAGTTTTTCCCTCCATTTCTTATAATGTTCAGTGAGAAGCGCACGCCAAAAGATTACATTTTTTAATCTTTTTGCTAGGGTTCACCCAAAACTCATTTCCGCAGACTGGCAACGCTATGGAATTTTCTGGTATTTTTTTCGTTCGTCAGGGGACCGACGTAAAAAAATGGCCCGACGAAAAGTGAACGCCAGCTGTTTGCCTCTCGCTCTCTCTCATGACTGGCGTACGGTTTTCGTCGATCAGGATACTAGGCTAAAGCTTGTTTTGGCTCCTCAGGTTTTTAAAGAGTACATACTTTCGAAATTGTCATTTGAATTGCAACCGTCCAAGCCAAACAAACAAATGAACCACCTTTGGCACAGATGCCATCTCTTTCACACTAAGCGCAGCTTCTCCATTAACAACAAGGCACAGCTGGTGCTTACCGACCGAGACGCTTCGCCGATGCTTTCGTTTTCCTTTCTGCTTTCGGTTTCTTGTTCATTCGTATATTTATCGCTGACGCGATCTCAACGGGAAAAAAGGGGACGAACGTTTCTCAAAACACATTAACTGTGAAAATGTTGAACTTTTAGTTTTTCTGCCTTCATTTGAATATTTTAAATAAGTGTGCGTGTGCAAAATAATTGTGCTGCTGAGGAACACGAAGGTACATACATGTACAAACTACATACAAATGTAGTCTCCAAACATTGAATGTAATCTGGAATGAGCCGGTTCAAGATCCCTTTTTAACGCCTTAGTGCGCAGTTGCAAGAACTGGAACTCCACGCCAGCGCTGTTTTTTGCTTTGTGTTTTTTGTCTTCCGTCATAGCACTAGCTTACAAAATTTAAACGACGATTTGCGCCAGAGAGGAAAGTTCGATTTTTTAGTGCACTTGCATTTCCACCCTTAATGTTTAAAGTGTAAATTAATTTTTTGCCTGTTTTAGGCCTAATTCGTTTATTTTTTATCTCGAGTTCTGGTGAGCTGAGTTTATTAGATAAAATAAGATAACCCCTCTGTCACTATTTGTAATGATAGGTTTTTTGTGCAGTAAATACACATATATAAAAACCAAACCTTTTTATTTCAACGCAATGGCTACTCTACACATAGCCAGTAATAATTTTGTTAAAAAATATATTTCTTCCATTGAAAGCTAGTTCAATTTTTAGACCATGTGTATTTACACCTGTGTGTACATAAGGGTGGTCGTCTATAAGGTAAATTAAGAAAGCTTAAGCTTAAGACTAAATTTAGTCTCGCCGTTTGTAATGGTATGTTTATTTTGTGTTGTTAAATTATTCAAAAACCAAACATTTTTATTTTAATGTTAAGACGTTGCGTTGACATTGAGCCCTTAAAAAGTCAATAAGTAGCTTATTCTCATGTGTTCTAATTGAAATGTAACTCCCTTAATTATTAGCTACAATGAGGTATTTTCTAATAAAGCAACGGCAAGGAATTAAAGTCAATTTTATCAGGTGATTTATTGTCGCTTGCATACCTGTTACTGTAGAGTAAAAGGATACCCTTTCTACTCGTTAGAAAATATGTACAAGGTACAAGGAATTAGTACTTTGTTCTAATGTTATGTGTGTTTTCTTTATTTTCAGAGCTTTCGATTTTGTGATTTTTCGTATAGTTTCATGTTATATTTTTAAACTTTTGGTAAACCTTTGAAAACAAATTTTAAAATGGTGAACAATAATGGCAACACAGAAGGTAATTTACATTAATTGTATCTCTTTTTTGCAATACTCTTAAATTTTACCACATAACTTACCCAACTACACGGAGCAAAAAATAGGTGACTATTTGCACCTATAGATGCATATACAGTAGAATCCGGTTATAACGACTCCGCTTATAGTGTCCGTCCGGTTATTGCGACAAAAACTAGATGGTTTGGTTGGTCCCCATACAAACTTATATTATACAAACTTATATGGTTAGTGCATCCGGGTATAACGACGTAAAATCGTCAGTCCCTTGAAAGTCGCTATAACCGGATTCTACTGTAGTTGTATAGTTAAAGTTTTGCTTATTATTTAGCTTCTTATATGAACTCAACATTTTTAACTATATTTATATAAGTGTATTTAGTTTAATATAAAGCTGTGTTCACCGAAATAGCAGTGCTTACGACCTGCACGTTTAAGATTAAAAAATACTATTACAAACACTACTTTGTTAACAAGTTTTTCCATAAAGGCTTAGAGTATTTAATTATAAATAATAAAACAATTATTTCATTTGGGTAACTTAAACACTTTAGAAGATATAGCTAATAACAACAAAAAAAGTATATATTATGCTGTTCATTGAAATAGCAGTCAAAGTAAACAATTAACAAAAAAATGTAATAAATTTCAAAATATCTTATAAATAACCTATTCTTACTGAAATACAATTCATCTATGATCTAATATTTTGTTAAATAGCCTTTACTAGCTATCACAGCCTCACACCTACGTGGCATTGAGTCCACCAATCCTTGACAACGCTTGAGGGGAATCTGGCTCCATGTCTCCTGCACAAATTGCCAAAGCTGCTGCTTAGAAGTCGGGGACTTCTTTGATACGTAGCGCTTGATGTCTCCCAACAAGTTTTCAATCGGATTTAAATCCGGGGACTGTGCTGGCCATAGCATTTCATCAACTTTTTCTTTAATAAACCCCTCCCTGGCCACCTTGCTGGTATGTTTAGGATCATTGTCCAGCTGAAATGTCCAAATTAAAGGCATCTCTTTCTCAGCATACGACTGCATGACAGTTTTAAGTATTTGTGCATATGTATATTGCTCCATGATCCCATCGATCATATGTATGGGACCTACACCGTTGTATGAAAAACATGCCCATACCACGATTTTAAGGCCACCGTGCTCTCCTGTCTTCAGTGTATGGTTTGGGTGGTACTCTGTATTTGGAGGTCGACGGTAATATTGTCTTGATCCTTTTCCACCAAATAAAACCAGTTTGGGCTCATCTGTCCAAAGGATAATACGCCATTTGGATACTAGTCAGTTCAAGTGGCTTTTGGCGAGCTCCAACCTGGCTTTTATATGCCTTTTACCAAGTAATGGCATCTTCCGTGAACTTCGCTCATTCAAATTTTGCTCAAGAAGTCGACGGTGAATGGTCACATCACTGATCCCCAAGCCAATATTTGCTTTTATATCCCTAGAGGAAGCAAAAGGATTAACTTTGCTGAAGCGTACCATGCGTCGGTCCTCTCCAGTTGTGGTTTTGCGAATCCCACCTCGTTTTTTTGGTTTCGGTTCATATTTTATGGCATCGGACAACATCTTGGCAGAACATTTCAACAGTCTTAGAATAATTTTATATGTTCTGCCCTCCTTTCTAAGCCGAATGATCTCTTCCCTTTCTCGCTTGGAGCATTGAAGTCCTTAACCCACTAAAGTGAAATTTTTGCGTAGTAAAAGTATATTGTCGTATTAACTATAATAATGAACTCAATTAAACTCCCTTTTCACAAAATGACAAACAATTTCGGCACTTTTCGCGAAACAAAATCAAAAACTGCTATTTCGGTGAACAGCCAAAACTATTGGTATGTGAGAAAAAATATCAAAATAACTCAAAAATAAAGCGAATCTAACGAAACGTTTGCTTATTTCTTATCTCTATGTTCCATTTTACAAAATCAATGTGCAATAGATCAACTTACAAAAAGGAATATTCCAAAAAACCGTTTTATAGTTGTTCTTCTGTCGCACTGCTATTTCTGTGAACACAGCTGTAAATATAGACAAATTACTTATTTTTAATTTAAACATATGCATTGTTGAATGCAAATGATAATATAAAAATCCTTTTATTAATATGAAAATATTCGGCTAAAATGCTTTTGTACTTTATACATTTTTTTTATACCCTTGCAGAGGGTATTATATTTTGGTCAGAAGTTTGTAACGCAGTGAAGGAGACGATTCCGACCCTATAAAGTATATATATT